TTTGATATTTTTGGATATTTTGAAGAATAATGTCATTTTTCGATGTTTCTTTTTTTAAATGTCAATTTTGACAGGTTAAGGAAATCACGTGACCTATTTTGTAGACGCCATTTGACATCATTTCTTAAGCAAAATCTACTGCCAAAATCAAATTTCACATAAAACGATAAATAAAAAAGTTTCCCATTTGATGCGGACTTTATCGGTGACACTGTAATTAGTGAAGAGTATCAGACCAAAACTTTTAGTTTCAAATTAATTTCAACCATTTGTTTCTTTTTCACTCACCTGCCACAGGTTTCTTCATTTCTTCCACAGAAATGTCTCTCAAGTTTCTGATTGGTACTTTTTGAGGAAAAGAATTGATGAATGTCACTTCATGTCCTTTGTCTGCTAGTTCTTTCATCAAACGGAATCCAAGTGAAAAATGACTGTGGACGCAATATGGAAATACACCGAGAATCCTGGCTCCATGAATAACTGACAAAATTGAACACACAACTATGCTACGTATTACATACATTCTTCCTTCGGAATATAAACTCGAACTAAGGATTATCTGAAAGAATATTTATATATTGCTCACGAAAACCCGGGGTGGCTACTGATAACGTTGTCATTAATATGTATGTATAGAACTAACAAGAATGAAATATTCTTAATTTTTTGTCATACTCATATTTTAAAGATTCTCATAATTTCAGGTTCAGAATAAAGTAACGTTTTCAATAAATTGCCTGACAAAAAATTCTATCTGACGAACTCAGCCAAAGGAACTTTCTATTGTTTGTAGAAGAATATAAAAGAGAAAATACATTTTCTTGTTAATGTTTACATGAATATCCTTCACAAATAACATCACTGCAATTATTTTACGTGTTGAAAAAGAACCGTATCCAACTTATTATCTTTTTTTTTTTTGAGATCATTGTTGCATTCGTTGTTACATTTGAAATAATGACTAATATTATTAGTTTGCCTCAAAAGTTTTACTCATTTTAACGGCATGTGTCTCTGTCGTTCCAAATCTTGATATAGTCCAGTCATTTGAGCTTTTATCCGCGGAAAAATTCCTACTGAGCTGAATTTTGGTATTCACCTTCATTATGGCGTTTTAATGAAGATGTCAAAAATCGACATTGATATCGTGCCGGCTAAAAATCTTATAAGGGTCAAAAGACACGAAAATCAGTTTTTCGGGAATATCTCGCGACCTATGGCTCGGAGGTCAATAAAAGTTGTTAAAAAAATTATTCCTCATACGATTATCTACAAAAAAGGGGCGTTTTTTTAAAATGGTTTCCCCCGTAGGCATAATCCATGAACTGTAA